ATGCTGTGGGCAGCCTTCGAGGAGCAGCAGGGTAAGGGCAGCCCTGCCTCTCGGGGGGCTCTGCTGGGGGAGCTCTGCCACCTGCCCTGTCCTAAAGCATCTCCCTGCCCTTGCAGGCAACATTGACGAAGCCAGAAGGATCCTGAAGACGTTTGAGGAGTGCATCCTGGGGCTGGCCATGATCCGCCTGCGCAGGGTGAGCCTGGAGCGCCGGCACGGCAACATGGAGGAGGCGGAGCAGCTGCTGGAAGATGCTGTCAGGAATGCCAAGTCCATCAGTGAAGCCTCCTTCTATGCCATCAAACTCGCCCGGCACCTCTTCAAAGTGCAGAAAAACCTGCCAAAGGCAAGAAAAGTGCTGTCAGAAGCCATAGAACTGGACAAAGTATGTGTTCCCTCTTGGCTGTCTTACCCAAAACTCAAACCACCCCGGTGTCTTTCTCTCTTTCTGAAGCCTTTTGTAAAACATGGCAACAGTGATGACAGGAGTTGTAACTGCATGGAATGTCCCATTACTGCATGGAGACAACAGTCCCTCTAAACTGACGTTGCCAAGGTCCCAGCCTGGGAATCTGGATGTTTGCACCCTTTTCCCATCAGAAACACAATGTGCTTTGCACCTCTATTTTAATTTTCTAGTACCTTAAACGTTCTCGCTGTGTTCAGTGTTATTGGTGTGGGCAGTGGTGGTTTGGTGTCAGCACAGGAATATCTGGCACTCAGATGCTGCCAGCCAAGTGCAGCACCTGGGTTTGTGGTGTTGGTCACTCCTGGTCTGTTTGTGCCACAAACCAGCGCAGGGAGAGAGGAAAATCCCTTTACTGGCTGTTGTGTGTATTTATGGGGTGAATTGCGGTGTGTAGCAGAGTTAAATACCTGCTGTGAGGGTCGGGTGTGCCCCTCCTAATGCCTGTTCTGCACAGGAAAACACCAAACTGTACCTGAACCTGCTGGAGATGGAGTACAGTGGTGACCTCAAGCAGAATGAGGAGAACATCCTGAGCTGCTTTGACAAGGCCATCCATGGGGCCTTGTCCATCAAAATGAGGATCACGTTCTCACAGAGAAAAGTGGAATTCCTGGAAGATTTTGGGTCTGATGTGAACAAGTAAGATGTCCTGTGGGCAGCAGCCAGACTGGGGTCACTGGGAGAGTGCTGGGAAAAGGGTGGGAGCAGAGACTTCTGTAAAATCATTTCCTTTGTTCAGCCATCAGCTCTTTGTAAGGAACAGCTGCCCTTCTAAACCAACCTCCTGATGTTAAACAGGAATAGATTTTTAAACAGGAATAGGTTGTCAGATAATTGCCCCTTTTTATCTGAAGTGCCCAGCACTGAGTGAGCAGAGCTGTGCTGGCCTGCCAGGTTTTGCTGTGGTTGGTTTCCCCTTGCTGAGCCCTGTGAAGGGAGGGGCTCCCCAGGGGAATGGGGCAGGCCTCAGGTGTCCTTTGAGACTGTTCCCTGGGAGTTTCCAGAACTGCACTGCTTGGATTTCTCAGTGCTCAGCACTGTTAACAACTGTGCACTTAGGTGGGAGGATACACCAGAAATGCAAGTTTTAAATTCAATGCCTCAAAGTATGTTTTTCTTCTTAATTATCTATTGTTTTTATTTACATTTTGCAGCTAAATAACCCGGAAGGATTAATGACAAGTCAGTTTTCCTGCTTTGTATGTTTTTAACAATAGCCCTCCTTAAATTCTGCTGCCTCTGTGTGGCAGCCAGTCAGTGCAAGTTTGGGATCTGAGACAGATCAACCACAAGGAATTTTGCAGTTCCCAAATAATCCCAGAGCACAGAATGAGTACGAGGAGCTCTTGACCCAGAGCACACTGTCAGAAGCTGCAGGTTTTGTGGGATGCTGCAGATGAGGGGGTATTTCAGTATCTGTGGGAATTTTAGCCAGGACTCTCCTGTGCTGCATTAACCACCCTCGTTCTTCCCTGCTGGATGGGGAAAGGCTGTAGGTGCTGCTTTGGGACTGGAATCATTTCCAGTGTTCAAATAATGATTCCCACATCTCTCTGCTGCTGTGGGTGGCATCACCAGCAGGCTCTGAAGGAGCAGCTGAATCACAAATCACTTGTAGAAAACCTGTTTATAAAGGAACTTGATAAAAGCTGCATCAGGTGTGAGGGAAGTTCAGCAGGCTGGGAGCTGGAGCTGTTGTGAATGGCACCGAGCTGCTTTCCCCTGCTGGTGGTGGGTCACTCATTAGAACTGGTGGCACTGCAGTTTGCTGTAGTGTTAGAGCTTGCAGGGGGCATTGCTCAGGAGTTTTGAATCCTGGCAAGGCCTGACTGGTTGTGCTCTCTGCAGGCTCCTGGATGCCTACGACGAGCACCAGGCACTGCTGAAGGAGCAGGAGACGCTGAAGCGGCGGGCGGAGAACGGGTACGGACTGAGCCCAGCAGCTCACTCTGGGGGTTCTTTAGTCTTTTGTCAGCTTTGAACACACTGATGTGAGGATAGAATCACTTCATTTTAGTCCTTTAAAGTGTGTGCTGAATAGAGCTCTGCTGCCTTAAATATTCACAGAATTGTTTGCATTGGAAAGCCCTAAAACCTGCCATGGACAGGGACACCTTCCATAGGCTGCTCAGAGCTCCATCCATCCTGGCCTTGGATGCCTCCAGGGACGGAAACATTTTTGGAAAATAAGTTTTTGAGTTGTTGAGCCAAATCAGTTGTTGAGCTGGTAAAATAACTCAGTCTCTGAGCAGGAACTTAGAGCCTTTGCTTTGCTTTAAACCCAGCCTGCTCTGGAGCACAACACCAGCTGCCCTTCCCTGAGCCCAGTTCCCTCACCCCGCTGGGCCGGGGCAGCCAGCTGAGCACAGCTGAGGCTGGTGCAGCGTTCCAGGGTGCCAGAACAAGGCCGTGTTCCCTTGCAGCTCGGAGGAGCCGGACGAGAAGAAGCTGCTGACGGAGGACGCGGGGCTGGCGGCGGCGCAGCTCATGGACGGGGACATGCAGGTCAACCAGGCCGCCTACAACTACAACGCCTGGTACCAGGTACGCTGCCCCGGGCCAGCCTGCACACTTGCAGCTCCTGGGGAGGAAAACTCCTCGACTCTGTGGGGTGTTGATCCCTCCTGGGTGTGCTCCTCACGCGTTACGTGGAGCGAGGAGCGCTTTGGTGCCTGTCCTGTCACACAGGGAGGGGATGGGGAGGGCAGCAGGGCCGGGTGTGTGGAACTGTTTTGCCCAGACTGGCTTTGGGGTCAGCCCCTTTCCCGTGTGCCTGGCAGTGACTCTCCAGGCAGTACTTCCTGTAGTGCCTTGGGGTGGGTTCTGCTGGTACACAGCACCAACAAAATCAGCCCCTGGGGCTCTTCCTCTAGGGCATTCTGGCTTGGAACAGAATTGTTGAGGTTGGAAAAGCCCTCTAAGACCATCCAGTCCAGCTGTTCCACCAGCACTGCCCAGGTCACCACTGACCCATGGCCCTACTGCCACAGCCACGTGTCTTTTAAATCCATGGAGCTTCTGAAGTGGTTTTATGGAAATTGTTGTTTAGACTGTGCAGAGCCCCCAGAGCTGGGAGAGCCGTGGTACCACTGGGGCCCAACCCCTGGGGAGCCCTTGGGACTGCCTACAGCCAGGCTGGGAATTCTCTGCAAAGCCAGGCAGTGCCAGGAGTCTCATCCAGCACAGACTGCCCAGTGCCAGGAGCGATGCCCTGAGCCTCACACAGCACTGCAGCAATGGCAGCCTTGGAGCTGGGCCAGGGATGGGGCTCAGGCTGGAGATCAGGGAAGGTTCTTCCCCCAGAGGGTGGAATGAGCTCTGGAAAAGCTCCCCAGGGAATGGGCACGGCCCCGAGGCTGCCGGAGCTCCAGGAGCGTTTGGGCAGCGCTGCCAGGGATGCCCAGGCTGGGATTGTTGGGGGTCTGGGATGATCCCTGGGGGTCCCTCCCAAGTGGGGATATTTTGATTTTGTGACTTTGTGATGAGGATCTGTCCTGTGGCAGCACGGTACCTCACCCCTGCCTGCCTTCCCCAGGCATTCCAGGGGGCTGTGCTGGGCACAGGGGCTGGGGGAGCTCTGTGTGTGCAGCAGGGACATCCTGGCTGATGCTGCTGCTGTGTTTGTTCCAGTACAACTACCAGAACGCCTGGAATTACGGACAGTATTACCACACAACCTGATCCCCGCAGGGAGTGGAGTTCACTGTGCTGCAGTTTCAACAAAGATGGAATTAAAAAAAAAAAAAAAATTATATTTTTCTAATTTTGGGCTGTGAAGGAACTGTTGTGCCACCTGCTTTTGGTCCTCTGCATGTGAACCGAGCTGCTGCTCACGGGGTATGTGTGAAGCAAGATTCGTGTGCTGGTAACTGATAAATGGTCTCTGTACAATTCTCATTTACCATAAATGAATTTTTTAATTCCCTGCACTAATTTATGGAGTATCAGAAGAATTCTCGTCGGTCTCTTGATTCCATAATTGAGTGGGCGAAGCTGTGGGCTTTGGGGTTGGTTTTGGCCCAGGGCTGGGGCCAGGGCTTGTCCTGCTCCTGGCCCAGCCGTTCCAGGCCAGGGCTGTTGGGGCTGGGGGCCTGGCAGAGCTGCCCCACGGGTTCTGTAGTGTGGGAGGGGCAGGGATTAAACCACCTTCGTTCTTTTTTAAAAGCACAAACTGTGTTTGGGATGAGTTTTGTATTTAGAGTTTTTCATGTACACGGTGTGAGCAAAACTTTTTTCATTTTGATCAAAGTGATCATTCCCATTTTTGTAATAAAAGCGAGGAATTCAGTAGTGCTCTGAGCTTTCTTGGACTGCCTCACTCGAGCCAGGAGGAAGAACAGAATGCCTGAGCTGAGCTCTGGTGGTCACAGGAGGGGCTGTGGAACACCCGGATCTCTGCGAGCGCAGCTGCTGTCAAATCAATGGAATGGGAATTGTGTGGGATTGGGCTCCAGAGGAGGGAAGGAGCCCTGGCTGGGTGTGGGGCCCTGCTGCTCAGCGCGGGGAGCACAGACACAAAGAAGGGAGGCACTGGCAGGTACAAACTCTGCTTTAGTGGTGGGGCTGTCACTACAGCAGCGGGGCAGGGACAACACTCAGCACTCATCTCCACAAAGGCACCGCTGTCACTGGAGCCAGGAGTTACAACGACCCAGCAGGAAGCTCTGGCAGAAAGCTCTGCATTCCCAGCAGCTCAGGGAATTCTTCACTCAATATCCACCAGCTCCACCTCAAAGAAGAGTTTTGCGTTTGGTGGGATCCTGTTGGCAAATGTTAAGGAAGCTGAAGCAGCCCCTGCAGTGTCCCCTCCCTGGGCAGGGAGTCCCCAGCTGCTCCCCAGCCTCTCCTGTGTCCCTCCCTGGCTGATCCTGACCCAGCGGGAGCTGTGGGGAGCCAGGGCCACCTTCATTGGCACACCCTGCTCCTCACTCACTGCCCCAGTGCCTGGGGAGGCCACGCTGTCTCCCTGGCACAGGGGAGAGGTGTCCAGGCAGCCCTTCAGCTCACAGGAGAACAATCCCCTGCCCTCCTCCAGAAGGGCTGGAAAAAGGAAACAGGGCTGCATAAACCACCACGGGATGACTCCTCCAGCCCCTACTTCAGCTGTGTCCCAGAGCTGATGTAACTGTCGCTGCTCCTGCTTAGGATCCCCATCAGGCAGAAGCACTTGGAAGCACTGGGATAAAAATGCAGGTGGAAAAGAGCAGCAGGTTCCCCCTGCACGAGTTCTTCTCCAAAAGAAAAGAGCAATTGTAGCCCCGGGAAGTGCCCTGAACTCGGGGTGGGAACGTCCTGAGCCTGCTGTGGGTGACAGGTGGAGCCCCTGTTGTGTTCCCATCCATAAAGCAGCTCCTGCCCCCCAGCATTCCCAGGTTCCCTCAGGAGTCAGAGGTCATGGAAGGATACTTGGCATCGGGCTGCCCCTTCTTGCCGTAGGCCCACTCGGGCTCGATCTCCAGCTGGGCCTTCTCTCCTTTGCTCATGGTCAGCAGGGCCTCGTCCCACTGCAACGACAGCAGCAGCTCCAGGCAGTGCTGCCACAGCAGCCTCTGCACTTCCAGCTTTCCTCTGGCTCCCAGAAATACCCACAGCCCCAGGCATCCTCCCCAGCCCTGCTCCCGTGCTGGGATGGGACCAGAGAGCAATGGGAACACGCATTCCATCAGCATTCCCAGCTCCAGTATTCCCTTCCCAGGGAGTGCCCAGGGCTTGGTGCTGTGTCCCTGTTGAGGGAAGGTTCTGGCACCCACAAACCAGGATAAGCACTGGGATAAACCCGGGCCACAGCCACAGCCCCTTCCCAGCTCCAATCCCATCCCACATCAGGAATTTCTCCTGCTCAGGCTGGAGCAAAGGAGGCTCAGGGGCCCTTGTGGCTCTGCACAAGTCCCTGGCAGGAGGGGACAGCCGGGGGGGTCAGGCTCTGCTGCCAGGGAACAGGGACAGGAGCAGAGGGAACTGCCTCAGGCTGGGCCAGAGGAGGTTCAGGGGGGACAGCAGCAGGAATTTCCCCATGGAAAAGCCCAGGGAATGCAAATAGGGATGGGAGGAGCCCCGGGATCCCATCAGCCTCGGCTGCTGAGAGAGACTGACAGGAGCCCGAGGCTGGGCTGACCCCAGGGAGCAGAGCCTGTGCTCTCTGCACTGCCTGGAGAGGGAATGACTCTGAGGATGAACGTTCCATCCTCCCAGAGCAATCCCCAGTCTGCCTCCACGAGAAACAGACCCCAAAATCCGCAGCCCAGTCATAAATCACAGAATGAAACTGCCTGGGGACTCACAGGGAGCCCTGAAGGCTTTACTTACACCTCGGATCACTTTTCCTACGCCAACTTTGAAACTCAAGGGCTTGGCTGCTTTTTTCTTCTTTGAACCTGGAAAAGAGTTTTATGTTCATTTGCCTCAACACCACAGCAGCACGCTCCACACTCCTGTAGAAAACTGTCATTACAATCATGCCTTACATAAATAGCTCTTCTTCTAACATTATTTTTAGCCCAATATCAGATTTTCAGGGGAAATACTAACACTGTGCAATAAAAGCATCATTAAATGTTCAAGCTGCATCAAAGCATCTTTCAAACCCCAAAGACTCATTCCTGAATTACTCAAGTTGACTGTACAAGTCATGGGCATATTCAGGAACCAAGGAAAGTCAACAAGGAACACACAAGCATGAGGAATTATAGACAGTATTCCAGTGACTCTGGAATACTGTTCCTGAGTGTGGGACATCACTGCTGGGAAAACCTTTCCAGTATTGCACAGTTTCATACCCCTAAATCCTCTGATCTGTCACAAAAGCACCAGCAGGGAATATTGCACACCAGAGTATTCAAATCCCTCTCATTCCAGTGCCTCCATTTTAAAGATTTCCCACAGAAAGGCCCCAAGATGTGTTTATTTACAGAAAACCAGGGCACTGCTGCTGTCAGAGTTCCTTAGGCACTATCTCCCCTCTGACTCCCTGCATTCCACATTCCCGGGGCCTGGAATGCCAGAAGCCAGGGCTGGCAGGATGCAGCAGTGTCACTTGACACCAGCCAGTCCTAAAATACTGCCCTTGCTACCTCATGGAAAATCAGGATCCGCTGCAGGGCAGCAGGCTCAGCAGCACCATGATAAAGCTGTTTGTCAGGAGCGCTCCCACACACAAACCCCTGCCCACATCTGCTGGAGGAGCCCAGGGAATCCCCTCCAGGAGCATTTGCAGCCAACCCCAGCAGTTTATCTGCACATCTTTATGCCCAGAACCTTACTTGACTGAATATTGGTATCGAAGACTGTCCCATCCTGCAGCTTTCCTGTGTACCAGCAGTGGACAGTGTCTCCTTTCTTCGGGAAGTTGGTTTTATCGCCCTTCTTTAAAATGGATTTTGTGTACTTTGGTGGCCCCTGGGGTGATAAAAAGAGAGTTATGACTGGTGGGTTAAATAGCCTCAGATATGCAAGAACAGCTGCTGAGTTTAAGGTATCAAAGGAGACACTTAGTGAGTGGAGTGTTCATGTTACTGCAAGGCTGCAACATTTGGGGAAAATGCAGCTTCAGGCTAATGAGGGGCATAAAGACCAGATTTTTTGCTGTAACCAGGTTTTGAAGACTTAGAATCACACAATCTCCTGAGCTGGAAGGGACCCACAAGGATCGTGGAGTGCTGTCCCTGCCCAGACCCCCAACAATCCCAGCCTGGGCATCCCTGGAGCTCCGGCAGCCTCGGGGCCGTGCCCATTCCCTGGGGAGCTTTTCCAGAGCTCATTCCACCCTCTGGGGGAAGAACCTTTCCCCGATATCCCCCTAACCCTCACCCCGGGACAAGTGACCGGGATAATTTGGTTTTCCAGGCGAAAAACGCGCGTTGAGGGCACGGCACCAACCTCCTCCGCAGCCTCCTCAGCCTTCACCGCCTTCCCCTTGGCCTCCTCCGCCTTGGCCGGCTTCGCCTTCTCCGCCGCCTTCTCGGCGCCGTCCGTGCCCTTGAAGCGCTGCGAGGGGAGGATGAGGAAGGATGAGGAGCCCCATCCATCCCTCCCCGCAGCCCTGCCCGGCCCAGCCCCTCACCTGCGTGTGGAAGAGCTGAGTGTAAGCCGCGATCAGCTGCTCCTTGTTCGCCGTCTTCGCCACGTTCTTCACCTGCCCCAGCAGCTTGTGCTCCGCCAGGAACTGCGGACACGCGTGCGAGACGTTCAGGGAAACAAAAAGAAACGCCAAACCTCGCCCCCACGACTCCAAATCATTGATTATCCCCCGGAATTACCGCCTGCGCCGCGTGCTCCTGCAGGAATTTGATGATCTCCTTCTTGGCCAGCG